CCCCCTTAGGCATAGAACTAGCAAGTAGCTTCCACCAGCTCAATACTCCTGATTTTAACAGAGGAATCGCAAGAGCGTTCTTCTGCTTGTTGCTGCATTCACAACTTTCAAACATCGTCTCCATCTCGGAGATCCAGTCCATAACTTGTACCGGCGTTGGGTTTCCAGAAAGACATGGGGGTTTGGATGCCATGAAGTCCTTGTACTTGCATCCTTTTCCATCGTTTCCTCTATCCTGGTTATTTCGCCTAGCAATCGGTGGGTCGTCTTGACCAATGATCCCACTAAAGTTTCCTCCTTCAGACTGCCCTCCATTTACTTCGGGCTCTTCGACTTGAATTGACAGTTCTTCGCGATTCTGCCTAAGCAGACATCTCGTTTCCTCCATCTGACAATCCAGCATCGTCTGAATCATCAATTGTACTCCAGCCATAGTCATTGGCTCAGGTGATGCTGCTGCAACAGCTACTTGCTCTATCACAGGTATTTGATTCCTGTTTTCGTCTATGTTTCCAACTCCACTCCTTGTTCTCACCATTTTTGATCTATACACCGAGTAAGGTGAAATTAGATCCTCATTCACGATAGATATTCAAATCATCCTTATCACTCCGAAACGTTTACATGCTAGTTCTAATATCGTATTCGTACGCTTATAATCCTAAACACATAAGGTCTCCAGATCCGGTCGGCACCAGACCATAGATCCGAGCAAACAATATCATATATGGCAAACATATAGCATTTATCACATAAAAGCATTTTAGGCATCTTTCCTAAAATATACTACTGCTCGTGTCTAAAATATGGTAGACACTCATCTCACAATCATCGCTTAGCATTCAAAGTTTAAGTCTAGAAATCCTACAAATTCCTAGTTCGCTTAAACTAATGCTCTGATACCAACTGTGACATCCCCATTTTCACGGCCAGAAAAGACCGATTTGTTTATGCTTTATTTTATAAAATCAGAGTAATCCTTTGATTAAAAGAATTGCGGAATTTGTTCCCAAAACAAAATATGATAAGAATTTATCAAATCATTTCTTTAAAGAAATGTATTTTCATTAAATAACAAAATCTCGGGATGTCATGTTCCGATACAGACTAAAAGCATAAACAATATAAAATAGACCTTACAACAGTTATTTATAACTACTGATCTATAATCCAAAATCTCTCGTCAAGTCCACCAACTTATACTCGTGTGCCATTACCTGTAATGCAAAGAAAACTGAGTGGGTCAGGCTTGGGAGCCTGGTGAGCATATAGGGTTTTCAACCCACAGTAAGATATAATATTATATTTAATCATCAGACAATCAACCCAAATTACCCATCCCTATTATCTTCTTCTGTTTCTTAGAGCTTTACCCTAAGAGTCAATTATCCTTCATTCATTCATTCCTAAGGATTGACCTAAGGGATTGGCACAAAAATCCATTTGCTTCCACGGTTTATACAACAGGCACTGCGTCACATAGTCGCCAGGGTTTATACAATAGGCACTACGTCTCATAGTCACCAGGGTTTACACAATAGGCACTACGTCTCATAGTCACCAGGGTTTACACAATAGGCACTACGTCTCATAGTCACCAGGTATTTCATCTACCCATGTTCTACCCAACATATTTGTAGATATAAAATACATATACGGTTTAAATCATTTAAAAACCTGTATAAAACATCCATTCCACACTCATCTCAAATAAACAAACAATACATAGCACATAACACGTATTTCATAGCAAATACTTCATATTTATGTGTTAGAAGAAAGTAACTACACACTCACCTGATAAGACGATGATCGGACAGCACCTCGTCTCTTAAAATAATCTTTTCCGATAAAACCGGGACGTTTTCTCCAAAACCGGGCTTTACACAGGCAGAGTTTCGGCTCAGAAACTTTACTTCTTGAGATCCTCGAGGTTTCGGGACTTGCTTCGGGTCTCGGGATTAATATCGGGGATTCGGGATATTTCTTGCACGTAAAACGATGCAAAAACGAGAGAGAAGGAAAGAAAATGAGCAAAGAACTCGGCTGTCTTCGACTTCTATTTATAGGGGCTGAAACCCCAAGTTACGCTGGGCGTAACCCCAAATTACGCTGGGCGTAATCCTCCGTCGACATGTACGTTGGGCGTACATCTAGGTACGCTGGGCGTACCGGGTGGATAGGGCCGGATGAGTCACGGGTTTGGTATTATCCGATTTTATAATTAAATAAGTATATTTTAATTATTTAAAAACTTCAGAAATTCATATCTTCCTCATACGAACTCCGTTTTCGACGTTCTTTATATCCACGCGTAGGTGAGACTATGCTCTACAACTTTCATTTAGACTCCATCGGCTGATTTCAATTTTATTTTTATTATATTATTTTTAGTAGGCCGGGACAGGAAAACTCAGTTAGAATTTCATAACTTCTTCATCTGACGTCCGTTTTCGTCTGTCTTTTTACCGTTGCACTACTAATAGCGAGATCTTCGATTCTCGTTTAGATTGCTTCGACCAAAAATCACTCGATATCAAATTCGAGTTTCGGGTTGCATACTACTGAGCTGAAACTTCGAAAAATCATAACTTCCTCGTACGAAGTCAGATTTGGACATTCTTTTTATGCACGCTCACGGTTTAACGAACTCTACGACTTTCGTTTAGATCACTAAGGCTAAATATTGGTCTAACGTAAATTCACTATTTACGTCGCGCTGTGTCGTGTTGGTTCTGTCGCGAAACTTCGACAGGTCATAACTTCTTCGTTATAACTCGGATTTCGACGTTCTTTATATATTCGGAAACCTTGCCACGACCACTATAACTTAGTTAATATTATTCATTCTAAATAATCTTTTATCAAAAAGTCATTTTTGACGCTTATCGTCTCTAAATTGACTTGCCAGGATCTACGAGCGTTACAAATTGATACGTGACCAAGTAGTTGACAATGTCCGCATACCATGAAGTTTCATTGGTAACGAACAAATGCTCGTCCGGAAATGTGTCACGGATTGGTATGGTGTGTTTGGGAGGTACGATTCGACTTAGATGATCCGCGACCAAATTCTCTTTCCCACTTATATCCTTGATTTCTATATTGAACTCTTGCAGAAGCAACATCCACAATTATAACCTCGGCTTCGAATATTTCTTGATTAGTAAGTGCTTTATAGGTGCATGGTCCGAATAGATAATTACTTTGGTCCCGAGGAGGTATTGTCGGGCAATAGGGATCAAACCTTAGACCTAGTTTTCCTCAAAATTTTGTTGTTGTTGTTGTTCCCTCTCTCGCTCTCTCTCTCTCTCTCTCTCTCTCTCTCTCTCTCTATATATATATATATATATATATATATATATATATATATATATATATATATATATATCTCCATATTCTCCTTTTCAAAAATTATAACCTATCTCCAAGGTTATGAAATTTTCGACATTCCCTTTATAGGGGTTTCCTTATTTTGCTTCTTGGAGTCTTGAGTCTAACTACATTGGAGGGATTCTCCATTGGATCCTTCATCCTTTGCAATAGTTGGCAATCACAAGGTCTCAATCAAAAGATCATGAGGTAAATATGTTTATCCTTCTTTAGTTAAATTAAAGTAGGTTGCTATAATTAGTAAAACCTAGATCGTGGGGTGCATGCACACATAGGAATTAATTTGTTTATTCTGTTGCGTTACTCTTGTATGTATATATGTATTAAAAACCCAAAAAGGTGACAATTTCCTGGGTTTTGAAGAGTGAAAGGAGAGCCATGGGAAACCGAGGTGACATTGAGGTGACACATGAAAAGTGAAAGATGAAAGATAGGTACACCCTTAGGCCTTATAGCTAAAACTGTTAAAAATAAGGGTTAACTTATTATACATGGCCTAATATAACTTTCATGTCATAATAACCATTTCTAAAATCTTTCTTAAAAATATAAAACCATATTTAGACACCATCCCCACCGTATGACACCACCTATAACCACCACCACTAATGTTTTTTCATCATTACCATCATCTGCTACCACCAATACCATTTTCAATTTTTCCCAAAAAACAACATTTTTAAACCAGTCATCATGTTATTTATACCAACTATCAATAACTAGCAAACACTTATATTAGAACATATGAAGCACATCATAACAAATGAAACACATCAATGACTAAGAAACATTTGATGCCTAATTACATTTACATTAGGGTAAATTACACAATTCGTTCCTTGTGCAAGTGCCAAAACACACGTTTAGAACATATTTCAACAATGTCAAACTTTAAAAAATTACTTACCACAATCTAAAGAGAAACCAGTCGTATGTACTCGAGAGAGACAGCCTCTATAAGGGGCGCAAAACCATCGTCCGTGATAAGGGTCGATACCAGATAATGTACTTTGTATCCGATATAGAGGGCATGATTTTTGCCATGGAGTAAGATTCTTTGAAACCGACATTTTTCCCTAAAATCTCCACCCTATCGCATCTTTCAAACTTCATTGTTATTTATGATAAGGTTTCTGACCTTGATGACGACAATGGGGTTTATGAAGGGGATTAGGGTTTTCTGATGGGTAACGGAGTGAGTAAATTTCGAACGGGGAGGCGATGAATTAATGAAGAACGAGGACGTGTTATTGATTTCACAGAGATGAAGGGGAAATGTTTGGTCACAAGAGAGACTAAGAGTTAAATTTGTCATTTCAATAGCAAGGGTTTACATTTAACGGAACTTAACGAACTTAACATACTAGTTAGCCATAATGACTTTTCTTGTAAGGTTTTTCAAATTTAGAAACCATCTTTATAAAAAAATTATAAAAACAAAATCCGATACATTTCCAAACATAGAGACCATTTGCGTAATTTTGTTAAAATAAACTACTCTCATGATGTCAAGTCTCAACTTTAGATACGGAGTTCCGGGAAAACAGCCGGCATTCACCAAGAAAAGCTACAAGAAGGGTAAAAACGTAATTTCGCGCACTGGATCACGATTTCACAATCACAATCACAATCTAAATTAAAACCAGCCAGCAAGGAAACTCAGGCCTAAAAACAAGGTACGATCACCAACTGCAAAACACATACTTACACACTTCCTCTTTCATCCTGATCCTCTTTCTCTCTCTACAAATCTTTTCCTTTATTTATCTTGCTGTCCACCCACGAACCCATCATCAACAAAACATGGAGCCGAAGAGTCAACACGCACCCCTCATCAATGGCCCAACTTGGACCAAGATTTATGTCGAACAAGAAATACAAAAAACAAAATCTTGAAAGATACAGAGAAAAAGAAGAAAAGAGATATAGATAGATGAGATGTCTTCAAATTCCAACCAAACCCACCGATTTAATTATGATTATGACAGATATACCCTTCTGCAACCCCCAAAATGTGGTCTTTTTGGGGCTTTCTATTTGGTCAGATATTCATATTCATATTCATCACAAACAACAACAGAGAAAACAGGGAAAGCAAGAAACTTCTCATCACCCATCACACCCTTTCGTCTTTCTTTATTTAAGTCTTTCTTCCCAACACCCTTCTCTCTCGAGAGCCTCGTCTTTTTATTTCTTCTTCACGAAACTTGAGATCTGATGAGTAAGAAGATGAAAAGGGTTACTTTTGATTCGTCTTCTCTTGCGTCGTATGAGGATGCTAGGGCAAGAATTAAGCATCAAACCCTTCTTCAAGATTTTATAGAGTTACAACAGGTGATAATCTTTATTTATCTTTTGTTTTTGATCTAATGATCTCTCGTTTTTTGGGTTCTGGGTCGGATTTGTGTCGATGATCTTATTTAGGGTTCTTGTTATTTTGATCTTATGCGTTGATATAGTTTAGGGTTCTTAATATCCTTCGATTTTTTTTTTAAATCTTTTTTGAAATATCGATTCATGCTTATTTTTTCCCACGATCTATAATATGTTTGATCTGTGTGCCAATGATTTCTTGATGAATTTAACGTTTATGTTGTGGGTTTTGTTCAATCGATGATCTATTTTCTTACTTTTGTTCTTGATTGATTCTGTGAAAGAAAGAGAGGAGTTATCTGTTCATCAAATTTTGATAAATCGAAATCTTTTCTTTTTGAAAATTTCACCATTAATTTGTTGTTCAGCTGTCTTTTTACAATGATTATAGTCAGGTATATGTTTTCGCTGTTCTTTCTTTAATATTTTGACATATTTTATGTTATTTAACAGGAAACAGAAGCCCAAAGAAGCAATTTGATGGCTTTGAAACAAAAGAAACTAACCTTACAAGCCGAAGTTAGGTATAAACTTACTAATTTTGTTCTATTAACCTGTTCTTTTACTTTTAAATACTTTTTCATTCGATCATGATCTCAACTTTCTATGTCTACAAATACAGGTTCTTGAGGCAAAGATACAAATTTCTAACAAATAACAAGTCATCGTCGACTCCAAAAGAACAATTATTTTCAAAATCGCACTCAACCCGAGTCAAAAAAAGCAAAAAAGAGAAGGTTAATCATGAAAAGCAATCACCTTTACGCAACATCAAGAAAAAAGCTCCTGAATTCGACTTGAATCTTGGAAATTCTTTACATGTAAAAGAACAATCTGTTCAAAGAGCAATTTCAAACCAACGGGTCAGGATCAACGGGCCAAAGATTAACCCATTTCTTGATTCAAACCCGCAAAACAATCTTTTTGGATATCCAGAACCCACGGGTCAAAAAAAACCCGTAATCGACTTGAACCAGATATCTGTAAGTTAATACAATGTTTTATTACAAACTTGATATTTGTGTTTATTAGTTGTTTCACTTTTTCTAATTATATGTTTCTTGATTATAGAGAGAAGAAGAGGAATTACAAGATCAATGTCAGCCGTTTGATCATCATCACACAAATGTGCGGCTATCAATCTTTAGGAATGTTCCGGGTGGTTCTGGTTTGGATTTGGGTCCGGGTCCGGGTTCGGGTTTGAGGGTTAAGTCTGTGAAGAGGAAGATATCTTGGCAAGATCCTGTGGCTTTAAGTGTATGGGGTGTATAAATAGAGGGTTTTGCTATATATGGAAAGAAATTTTGGTTTTATGGTGGTTAATTTTTAGGGTTTTGAGAGTGGTTTTGTGGTTTAGAAGGAAGTTTTTTGTAGATAGAGTTTCTTAGATTTGTGGGTAATGAGAATGGGAGAGAAAGATGAAATTCTTTTGTTGGTTTGTTTGGGTGATTGGTGAAATTCTTGTGAAGGGTTTATAAGTGTTCTATCTATCTATTCATTAAGTTTTTGAATTGTGGATTCGTGTACATAATATTTTCATATGATTATGAGTTATGAGTTTCAAATAATTAGCACATTAAACTATTAACAAAGCGATTATTAACAAACAAATAATGAAATACCAATCAAAGAGGGGGGGGGGGGGGGGGGGGTGTCGTAGAGTTCTTCACCAAAGAGGGGTTATTTATTTTAATGGAAATGATGTGAATAGATATGCAGTTGTATTTGTTAATCAGATATCTCTTGAAAAGCCATGTTGGGTTAAAACACAAACAACATAAATCGACTCTAAAAAGTAAAACATATGAAATTCCCTCAAAATCTCAAATCAGTGGACAAACCTAATGTGTAATGAGAAGTTGAAAACAATTAGCAATTTGATAATTCATTTTTTTTTTTTTCATTTTCACATACTTTATAACAAACACCAAGAATATACAAACAAATAAATGGGTATTGCACTCATACAGAGTTGCATGTGATGTGTTGTTTAACCAGTTTGAGTGATTTGACAAATGGTAAACAATGAAATTAAAAAAAAACACATTGAGTTCTGAATATTTGATCAACTGGTCATGTTTGTCCAGTTGATTTGGCTTGAGCCATTGAGAAACAAATTAAAATTTACAAAAATAACAACAAACATTTGGACACAGAAGTAAAAAGTAAAAAGTCAGAACACATTTATGAGTGATGAATGAGCTACCGAAGACAAGATAAAATTACAATCTATAGACTTACAGAACACACGTGAAGATGTGAAGGGAAATATCACAAATTTCTAAATTCCAAACAACGATGTATATATCACAAAATCATTGACTTTTATTAATCCCTAGAACTTATTTAATCCAAAAACTAAACCCTATATAATATATTAAACACAATTCACAAAAATCACAAACTAGAATGCTTCAATTAATCCCCAGAACTAGACATGAGATTGGATCAAAACATATGAAATTAACCCCAATAAAATAAAAGCGAAGTAAAGCGACAGAGATAAATCACAAATACTACCTTAAAATCTCATTATGCTCACATTACCACATACACGTCTTAGACTCGTGCATATTAGGGCTGACAATTCTCGACACAACCCGCAACACAACACGAAATAAATAAGTTTGGGTTGAATTTTTCAACCCGCCAACCCGCTAACCTGCCAACCCCCAACCCGTTTATTGAACGGGTCATATATATGAGTTTCTCAAAAAATAAACTGGTTGACCCGCCAACCCGTTTATAGTTTTAATAAAAAAATATTATTTTATTTTTAAATGTATTTATGTATCAAGTATTAATATTTAATAAGTATTATGTAATGTATACCATTGATTCATAGACCATTTGACTGTTTTGACATTTTGACTCGTGGTGGATGGCCTAAGGTCGTAAGTAACCTGTAAGGCTAAGTCTATAACCATTTTGCCTATTTGCCCTAAATAATAATCTCAAAATCAAATCACATATGAGCGTATCTCCCTCTTCCAGACTTCCAGTCTCCCGGTCTCCCACAGTCCCACTCTCCCTTCTGTTACTCTGTGATCGAAATCAGGTATCGAAATGGTGTTGGAGAATTGACTTTGTTTTTTGGGAGAAAAAAATAGGAATTGTGGTTATTACTTTGAATTATCTATGTTTGTATTAATGTTTAGTTTAAACATGTTTCTATAAATGTTTTTAACTTTCATTTGGATGTTTAAGACTTAAGTGTCTAAAATTCGGATATGTTTGCATCAACCATCAAAAATTTATTCATGTTTAATTGTCAATTTTATTTATGAAATCTGACCCACGAACCCAAATCCGACTCACGAATCCGCCAACCTGTGAACCCGTATAAATAAATGGGTTGGCGGGTCATATATGAGTTTACGTTCCAAACCCGCCAACCTGTGACCTATATATCTAAATGGGTCGTGTTTGGGTTGGCATATTTTGACCCGCCAACCCGCGACACGCCAACCCGAACACGACACGATTGTCAGGCCTAGTACATATTGTTAGTTTGGATGTTTGAACTCCAAAAATGCATAACTATCAACCACAAAAGAGCTTCATGCAAATAGGCAATCATGCGAGTACATGGCTTTGTCTTTGAATCTTGGTCTTTGAGAGTTTGAATCCTCAAATCAGAAATCGGTGATTCACTATGATTGATTTCACCTCAACTTTTTGTTTGCCACATTGGTTTGCCACACTACATGTATAACTTGGTAGTTAGGAGGTGGGTTAAGTTGCAAGAAAAAAATTGAAAATTGGGAAAAACAATTGAGTTTAGTTTTCTCCCTCTTCTCCAATCCTTTGCGGAGAATTGAGTTTGAGCTCAATATGTTGAAGGGAGGGGACGGTGTATGGTGCACTTGTCGCACCTACTCCTTGTAGCCTACTATTCTGTTTAGCACCGAGCTTGCTGCTTCCAATGACGATGACACGTTTCCTTTTTTTGGTTTATCACTTTACTGTTTTTCATTTTTTATCGAATACCATATGAACCATAACTGATGCCCCACTTTTAAGTGTTGCCTTGAGTCATGATTTAGGTCGCTCATAGCCCTAAGTTGACATTGGAGGTAAGATTCCCAGCCAAATGGAGTCCATGCACCCCCTTGGACTATTATGCATCCGTCATTGCTTATATGTATCTTGTACTCATGATTCAAAGCCTATACAAAGAGGTTCACTCAAATGATTCATGATTTTGTGTTTAAGAAGTAATGAGCTTATTTGTTTGTTGGGAATGAATTATATTCTTATGAAGCATATGAAATCTTTCAATTGTGCATATTCTAATGGAAGAGACAAATGATGGTTTTTCCGTGTCATACATTTGTATTAAATATTGTTTGAACTTATTGATTTGTAAAAACTTTTTATGAAAATATTTGTTAATTTTTGAAGTCATGTTGTATTGTTTTATATCAAATGACTATTGTAAATGCATTACTAGAAAAAGTCTTTAGTGACAGTTATTATAAATGCACTTCTACAACATCTCCCATCTTAGTTCTATCAAACTCTGATCAACCTTTATTCCATAATTTGAAATGTATGATCTTGTTAGGAGTGTCAAACCCAACAAATAAAGGGGTATGATATACTCCAAAATAACACTACTATATTGCACTAAAAGGTAGTACAAGGCAAGTAGGGTCGATCCACAGAGACACAAGCCAATTGGTCTATACCTCTTTGCACAAGGTACTATGGTCACCAATAGTAAAGAGAGGGGGGTTTAGAACGCAATGATTAAACAAACAATTAAAAACATAAGTAATCAACTAAATGAGTGAAATAAATTCAGAATTTGTAAGGACACAAACTCTATGTATGACAACTTAGCAATGCGATTCCAAGACAACATGATATTTGCTCAATTCTATCTAAGTTGGTACTTGAAAGTATTAACAAGCTCTAACACTTCCCATTCACCACATTAATTAACCAAAACAAGCTCTTTGATTAACCCTAACCTTACTAACCTAACCTAAACACGCTCTTAGAATTAGATTGAAAGATTGCATTAAACTTTATGTGAATGTTCCCAACAACACCCAATACTCTTCACAAGCTCGGGAGCGTAAGAGTGTGTGAATAAGATTTACACTAAACTCATTAAATGGAAATAAGTTTAGTGCTGTTACTTGTTCAAATTCATAAAACAATTACGGATTTTGTAAAAGAGATAACTTGAATGACTTAATCCTAATTCAAATGGCCAATAAGAATCACAATTAGAATCAAACATTCGATTGAAGCAAAATCAAATTCACTAGATAGAAATTAAAAGCAAACATCAAGTCATATGATTGAAATCACAACTAAGAAGTCAAGACATGAAGTTGGAGAAACTAGGGTTCTAGCCACACATGGCTAGAACAAGATCAAAAGTTAAAAAGATGGAAATAATGTGCAATTACAACTTACAAATACTAGAAATAATGTTTCAAAATGATTACTGATCAAACCCTTGCAAAAACCTTCGAAATCCCCTCTCCAAATGTGCTCCGATATGTTGTTTTTATGTAAAAATGACCCAAATCCCGAGATATTAAAAATAGGAAAAACTACCAAAAGGCAGTTTTTGGGTCGAACACGACCCGTGTCAAAATAGAACAAATCAACACGGGTCGTGTGGAGTGAAATTTGGTCTTCAATCCTCGATTCCAACCCCTAAGTTCGATGCTCAAATTTGCTCAGGTGGGCCAACACGGCCCGTGTCAATATAGACTAAACTGACACGGGTCGTGTTCAGTGAAGTCAACAGCCCCCATTTTGGTCAACACAACCCGTGCCCAAAATGCAGTGTAAATCCAACACGGGTCGTGTACTCCTCTGACTTCGAATCTAAACTTGATTTTTCCAACTTTTTCGTTCTTCGCCCGATCATCCCGAAATCTTCACCAATGCTTCCCGGCACCTCCCAAAGCGCATTCCAACTTCTGGTTTACCTGAAAAAGACATGAAAATGTGCAAATAAGGTTGTTCTAGAGACTAATGATAGCTTATTTTATTTCCTTATTTTTTATTAGTTTATTTTAGATTTTTAGCTCTTTTTATTAGTATTGCATTGTATATTCTATATTTTCTTCATCATGGATCGTATCAGAGACTTTTTATTTTGCATGAAGAATTTTGCAGGGTTTTGGAGCTTATCGCGATTGTGGATTAGAGTGAAGAAGGACTTGTGGGCTCTCGAGGCACTATTGGGCTTGGCGGATCCATAAAAGAAGACTTCGGCCTTAAAGAGTTGAAGACTTGGATATTTTGGGCTTGTGAAGATGGGTCATAAAATTCTATTTTTGGGCTTGGAGCATCCATTTTTGTAGCTAAATGATGATTGGTTGGTTTAAATCACATGGATATGGAGGGGACCAAAGGAATCTTTGGTAGTGGAAGGGTGGAGTGGAGGAATGAAGGACCAATAGCATTCCAGCAACACTTGCGTGGGTGGAATTTTCGTTGCGCG